ATACCCCAAGAACCAGTTACTGTCTCTATAGATTTACCTATCCTAGATTTCCTATACAGAAAAACATTAAAAACAAGCAAACAAACAAAAAGCATCCTAGCAACAATAACAAAGTAGAACAGATAAAACCTCAGTTAGAAAGATAGCAGAAAATATTAAAAACTAGAAAATGGATCATAAGGGACATCAAATTATAAGGCACTATATTGTATCCTAACTGTATCTGCAACAACCCACTTTCCAAAGGATTTTGCATGTTAGCAAGGCTGTTCACATCCTTCGTGCATGGTCGGAGGGGATGCACCAGGGGTTTAATCCATGTGTATTCCCCTACACTTTTTTTTTAATGGAAGCAGCTTTGAAATGCGTCAAAAGGGAGATCAAATAATAAGATAATACATTTTGATGTAATTATGTCTGCCATAATCGACTTTGCAATGCTTTCTGTCTGGTAACAGTCCTATTCACATCCCTCAACTATGTTCAGAGGGCTTTACCAGGAGGCTAAATCCATGTGTGGACCCTGTAGATGGATTTTGGGCTTCCACTGTCATCCAGAGCCTTCTGCAAACCAGGTGTTCATAATCTGAGCTCTGATACCATTCCTTGCTTTAGATTTGGACGACCTAGCTGAATTCTTGCTAACTTCAGGAAGCCTTCCTTCTTCTCTGTCCTCTTCCACCCTAACACTTTGCTCCTTGTATTGTGTTGTTATCAGTTGTACATGCTGTTATTGATACACAGAGCAGAGCAGGAAGGGTCCTAATGCTGCTGGGGATTGACTTGCTAGCTATTAGGATGTGACCTGAGATTCCTTACCTTTTAAAAGACAGAGTTAGAGCTGGAAGTTGCTTTCTGAGCTAGCAGGGTGGCTTAGTGTGGTCTCTGTGAGCTTCCACCATGGCATAGGGGGACCGGGGCTAGACACTGCAGAAGGGGAAGGTGCAGCCCATCCACTTCATCGTCAGATCCTTGTAAAATAGCTCCCGGATTCAGGTGTGATTCTATGGGCAAGTGGATCTGCACACAGAGTGCTGTAGCGTAGGTTTTGAGGAGTATGTGAACCTTATATTATTAGATGATGATGCAGAAGCGATTCCTTCTATGACAGAGTCAAGAAAACAGCTGGGAGAGATCCCACTAAAAGGAGATACCACTGCTCTACTACGAAGTGTATCAATTTAGAAGTGATCACTGGAGTGAGCAGTGGGGGCAATCGCTCCCCCAGACCACGTTTCCGTTTCTAGGGTTACGGATACAGCTCTAAACCATGTGCTCGTATTGTCTTCATTACCCTTGCGTTCATACCCGAACCACAACCAGTGGCCTCCATGGGATGTTTTTATTTAAGAAAAAAAATAAAACATGGGGTTAGACTAAAGCTTCTTTGTCCCTGTGCCTCTGAAACCTTGTTTTTGTGTTTTCATTTCTTCCCCCTAAATATATAAGCCAAGACTGGCTTTTGATATTTTCTGTGTTTCTCTGACCTTTGTCTTTTCTGTTGGTTTGTAGACCCTTGAGGAAAAGAGCCATCGTTTTTTATTCATTAATTTCCTTTGGCTACATGCTGTGCTGTGCAATAAATGTTTGCTGGATAAATGAAACGATGTGATACCGAGGTTCTAATAACTCAGAAGGCATGGTTTCTAGCCACCTCATTACGTATGCTCCTAAGGTAGAACTGTCCTTATTTCCTCAGTTAATTGGTAAAAATAATATTTCCATTTTGGTCTGGTTCACTGAAGAAAGAAGAAAGTGTACAAGAGTGTTGTGACGCAAGACCAGACTCCCCAGGTCGCCATGACCTTCTCGAAATCCTCCGGTGCAGTCGGGTGGGGGTGGGGCGCAGTCTGATTAGCGCTCTTTCTGGCCAGCTCTGCCGGTGTTCAGTGTGCTGATCCTGCAGCAGGACTTCATCCCACTCCGTCTCACCGCGAGAATGCGCAGATCCCCGGATCATGGCTTCTGGAGAGTGGACGGTTCGTCCCCACCCCACTCTCCATTTTAAAGGGATCTCTAAGAGACTGCTAGCAGATTTACTGAAGAGTACCATTTTATTAATTAGACCCCATTTCTTGCCCTTTTGGGGGTTTAGGGAGACACAGTTTCCAGAATACCGAGTTATCTTGTAACCTTGCTGGCAACCTTGTTTCTTGACAGGCTGCTAACACCGTGGTGAAATAGATGTAACGCCTTACATTGCACCCCTGGATTCCAGAAAGACCTATTTGCATAAGGTTGGGGTCTGAGTCCCCTTGTCCATTTCAAATCCTGCCACAAACTCTAAAGCAATCAAACTCACTGCCATCGAGTCGATTCCAGGTCATAGCACAGCCTCTAGGGCAGGGTCCCACTCCTCCTGTGGTTTCGCAGACGAGAACGACTGGAGTAGAAAGCCTCATCTTTCTCCCACACAGCCGCTGCTGCTGTTGACAGCCAATGTGTAACCCACTAAGCCACCAGAGCTCCTAAAACCTTTCCAAGGAATGTTAGTGACCAAAGTACCAAAAGGATCTTGTTTGCAGCCCTAACCTGGGACACAACCCAAGGCACTTGTCCCAAGGCGGAAAATGAGGACGCATCCCGGTCCACTACCAATTCATACGCCGTGGATATTTTAGTAGTCGCCACACCCCCGCCTTGACTCTCAGCCCTGTGCGTTTACATGCTTGCAGTGTTAGTGCTAGTTACCAGGTGGCTAGACTTTTTGCACTTTCCCCCTTTTCCACCAGGCATGACTAGTGAGAAGAAACAGTTAATGCATCATCTCCAGTAGTAGAAAGAAACCATTAAGAAGAGGAATAAAGAAAGAAAAAAGTGGGGGTGGGAGGGAGGAAAATATTCAGTATGAGAACTGACTCAGTAATCTCTCCCCTGGTATTTGGGGAAATAATTTAGAATGGGTATGTCTTATTTGGGGACGAGCAAAAGACATCATACCATCTGCCTAAGATTGCTGGGCAGGCTTGGAATTCAGTGGTTCTTAAGTCTCTAACCTGCCCATTTCTTTTTGCAGCCGGAGGGTGAGAGGCGGGGATGGGGTGTGAGGGTGCGGGAGTGGCGGGGAAGCTAAAGGCCATCAAGTGAATTCTGACTCACAAGAACTGTCAGGCTAAGTAGAACTGATGCTGTGGGTTTCTGAGGCTCTACCTCTTCAGGGGAGTCGAACCTTCTCATCTTCCTCCCACTGAGCAGCGGGTGGGTTCATACTGCTGATCTGTAGTTAGCACCCAACTGGTCACCCGCTGCACCACCAGGGCTCAGAGAGCGTGAAAATCCAGCCACCGGATCCGCCTGAAGAAGCAGCTCTCGGAGGACTGCGATGGACTTGATTTTAGGGCATTTCCTCACGGCCTGGGAGCAGAGGCCATGCCCCTGTTTCGCTGACTAAGCAATGACCTCTTAGCTTCCTTTGTTTGGTTTTTCAGCTGCTTTGAGAAGCGTGGTTATTATTGTTTACCTTTCTTTGATAGTGACATATACAGATACATATACAAGGCATCTAGGGCAGCGACCTGCACATATGATTTTAAGCATGGGAACTAATTCGGGAAGGGAGGGGGCAAGAAAAATAATAGATTAGACAAAAGGTCTCCAAACCTAAAACAGACAAATGATTGGTTTCTCCCCATGGCCAGGCCAGGGTGGCTTTCACGGTCCTACTGGCGGCAGAGCGGAGATAATCGAGGTTCTGTTGGTTTCTCGAGCTCCCGCTCCAGTAGCTAGGGCATCCTGGGAGTCAACGCTAAAGCCGACTGGCTGGGAAATTGACTAAATCCCGTCTCAGGCCTGCCGGGTAAGGGATGTCAAAGTGGGCCAGAGTGAAACAATTGCATAGAGTAAAGCTTTTTCAGGTGAACCCAATGGTTGAGGCTTGCTTGAAGGAAATCTGCTTAAACATCCAGAAAAAGATACGCAAAGTGAGGCCGAACTTTTTGTCAATTTCCAATGCACTTCATTATGTGACTTCTGATGCGTTTTTGAAAACTGGAAACTCTCAGTTCATGCAATGGGCAGAAGAAGATCCTCGATTTACCCTTAGCCCATGTGAGCTAAAGACTGAGCGCTTGCCAGGGCGGGTGTTGAAATTTCTTCCTCCTGCCGCCAGCATACACTAATCCCGAGACGCAGCCGTCATCGGAGGAGTTAGTCATCCGATGCAGTTTCACACGAATGTCCTTGTGTCAAAGTACTCTTTAATAACAGAGAGCGGGTAACAAAATGTATTAAACCGTTTTTTTTTTCTCGGTAAAGGGCATTGAATCTCTGAAACAGAAAGTGGCTACCCACTGCTGTTTTAACCAATTAAACGCAGAGGAGTTTAAGTGCAACCTGATTTTTGCATGTTGAATGGACTTCGTGTTCTCCGTTCACATCATTTCTGTTCCAGTCCCTCCGAGTTACCCTGCAGTCACACTCCTGTTCTGGGGTTTGCTTTCGCTCCCCTGCTTCTTCCAAAGGAATTAGAAATCAAGACATTGAGTATTTTCTGTGTGGGTTTCTTGTATGATTGTTTCTCGTCTTGCAATGGCTAAATGCATTTTCCCCAAATAAGGAAACATTTCACATTTTAGCTTTTAGTGGCGGTGATATGTTCAATGCTAGACATGTCTAAAGTGAAATAAAAAGACTAATCCATTTTCTTCCATTGAAGACATTTGTTCTGTAATGGAAATTCAGAGGGAAAATTAAGTTCGACCAGCCTCCCCCCCTCCTTCAGTGTCTTGATGACTCCAAATTAAATTAATGGTAAAAATGGATCCTATTTTCAATATTTACTTAAAACAGGAGAAACAGAGGCTTTTGTATTTTAATTAATTCAGCTGATAGAGAGGTTTCTTTCCGTTCTTTCCATTTGGGGCGCACACGAACAGCGAACTGAACTGCGTAAGGTTAACGGTCAGGTTGGCTGAGTGAGTCTTCTCGCCTCCTTTCCCACTCACAGAAGGCCGGGCTATCAAAGACTCTCACTTGGATTGTGTGTTGATTTTTACAAACAGGTGCCTTATTAAGGATTTTGAAAAGCGACCTTCCGTCACACATCTCCTCGACCACCCGTTTGTGAAAGGAACCCCCGAGAAGGGTGTGTTTCTACAAAAGCAACTGGCCAAGGTCCTTCAAAACCAGAAGCAGCTAAACCTTGCGAAAACCAGGTAGGTGGTGTATCCAGACTCTTTCTGCTTCCTCTTGCTGGCTATTTGTAAAAGCATCTTGTCGTGTGTTCTGATTCGCCCGAGAGTGTCATTTACATGACACGGGTGCTCCAGGCCCAAGGGACACAGACAGAGAGAGAGAGAGAGAGAGAGAGAGAACGAACGAACGAGCAACAGACCCGTGCTGCCTACCTGTGCTTTTACGGATGATTTCTCTCAATGGCGACCGAGCGCCCTCACGTTCGTTTAGCTCTAGTTAACACACAACAAACATAGTTGTTTCTATTGCACACAGACGTGCGTTTAACCGTGGTTACTATAGGAAAGCTGCGCCTGCCTTAAAACATCTTTACTTGGCCCTTGCAGACTGGGGGACAGGAATGTAGCTTGTAAAGAGATTTCAGAAGGTTTTGCAAAGTGTGTGGTTTCCGCTTAGAAAATCCACTCGAGGCAAGTTAGCATTTTCCAGTGATTCCCCCACCATGGCCCTTAGAGCCTTCGCTCTCTTTTTCAAACAACAGTGATTTCCCGTCTTATTTTAAGAATATGTCTATAGCGTGGTATGTCTTCGCAGTGGTAACTGCTTAAAGCAGCATTCAGCTGCTGGCTAGAAGAAATAGGTCTGTGGTTTTCTGTCCAGAGGGTGGCAGACTTTCTCTGCAATTAAAAAAAAAAATGCAAATAAACCGGCTTCCCCCGGCTCAGCAATGATTTACTTTTAGGAAGCTGGCTAAGCTGCAGATAAGCGCCGGCCCATTATTATTAAAAGAACGTTCGAAGTACCAGAGGTGAAGAAAATAAAATATAATAACTCACAAGTTCTGAAATTATTCATATATTCTGCAGGAAATTGTTTACAAAAAAACTCACCACCGAATACTGGCGTCAGAACCTTAGGCTCAGGACGTGGAGTTTCAAGGTGACTCTTATCTGGTGGATTCGCTCCCTTCAACCAATGTCCTTTCTGGAGAGCTCCCAATATTATCCTCATCTGCCCTTGTTCTGCTACCAGTTCTACCTCTATGGCTTGCCTACATAGGGTAGGGAAATTCCCGTGACTTGGTGCCTTTTTGAAGTGGCGGGAACTTTATGTAAGCCCCAAGAACTGTAATCTCTCTTCTCCTCTCCTGCTTTGTGATTCCATCTCCCCGACCCCAACCCCACATCACCAGCGAGAAAGAACATAAAATCGACTCCAACCCAAACCGAAATCCCCCATTTAACTGCTGTTCATCAAGTCAGGCTGCTACTTCCTGCCTCTCTTTTCCCAGGCCTGTGATGGAGTTGTTTCGCGGACTTCGTTGGTCAAAGGTACCCATCTTTCACATTTGCTTGACTTGACCTCAAACAAACAAATGCCCAGGGCTGACTCCGAGGACCCTCCTAAGGGTTTCCGAGACTGTCCCTGTTGGCGGGAGGAGAAAGGCCCATCTTGCTCCCTCAGAGCCGCGGGTGGTTTCGAACTGCTGGACTCCCCCTTTACCACAGAGGACCCCTCCAGGCTCTCCCAGCTCCTTTCCTCTACTTTCTCTTTCTCTTTTGTGAACTCCTTTGATGTCAAAGCCTCTTCATTGGCAAAGGCTTCTCACAGGGTCATTGTCATTTTTTATCGTAGTTCAACCGTTTAGGCTGCGTTGAGCGGTCATTAGAATATATCTCACCTCACAAGTAGGTATCAGGACTTTAAACAGCTGCATCCGTGAGATGTGGGGCATGTCACGAAGCTCCCATCTACTGCACACGACTACCTCCTCTTCGCCAGTGCCTGGCCATGAGATGATTACAGAGGCTTGTGTCTTTTTTTAAGCTCATCAGAGAAAAATCTTGGGGACAAAAAAGAAGCCTCACATATCATTTGCTACTGACACTGGAGGTATCCAAGTTCAGATAGGATAGAAATCAATGAAAACTGGGGGAAGGCAGCAAGGCCAATACAGCCTTGTGGACTTTGTCTGCATAGTGATGTTCCCAGAAGGCACGATGGTGCAGTGGGTAAAGCCCAGGGTTTGAAACTCAGCTCAGCCACTTCTTTCTGGTGCCTTGGTTCCTTTGTCTATGAAATAGAGTTATTGCCAGCATTGTTAGTCAATACCTGTAACATGCGTAGAATAGTGGTTGGTAGTTAACCTTCAGGTAATGTTAGCAAGCAGTACTAACCAGAGCCATACACCTGGCTTATTGAATGAAGAACTCTCCATTTCTTTTTAACACTACCTGCCATGTGACTTCAATGTGAATGAATGTATCCCTAGTTGCTTACCTTACAGTGTCCTGAACATAAATAGCACTAAAAGGTACTAATGAATACCAAAAATATCAACTTGTTATTCAAAATCTAATTTATTCATCTCTTCATCCAAGAGACATTTATATGTGTGCATGTGTCAGGCCCTATGCTGAGCACAGAGATGACACAGGCAAATCAGGCACAATGTCCCGATAAAGAGCTAGTAGGCTGGCGTGTGATGCAATCAGGAGTCAGAGAAGGCTCAGCCTGAAAAGAGCCCAGTCCAGGAGTGCCTGGGACGAGAGCTCCTGGGAAAGACGCGTAGGCCAACCCACGCTGGGATGGCCAGGGAGGGCTCACTGAGCTGACGGAAATTAGAACAGCGGTTCTCAACCTGTGGGTCGTGACCCCTTTGGGGTTGCCTAAGACCATCAGAAATATGTGCTTTCCAATGATCTTAGGAACTGAGACACCGCTCCTCTATCCTTTTCCAGGTGGGTCTGCCCACATGCAGATACGCCCACAGATGAGTACCCATGTTGACTGTTACCCATGCTACACCATGCTGCAAGATAAAATCTCATTTATTTGTCATTAGAAATAAGTATTTCACAATATATAATGACATATTGTTTTTGTGATGAATCACTATGCTTTCATGATGTTCAGTTTGTTACAATGAAAACACATGCTGCATATCAGATATTTACGTTATGATTCATAACAGTGGCAAAATGACAGTTAGGAAGTAGCGATGAAAATAATTTTAAGGTTAGGGGTCACCACCACATGAGGAACTGTATGAAAGGTCACGACATTAGGAAGGGTGAGAACCACTGCCATAGAAGGTGGTTGGGAAATGGGTGTGTTCTAGGTAGAGGGAGCCGAGTAAGCAGAGGACAGAGAGAACTTGGGAGATGCTTTGAATGAGTTGTTGGCATGGCCAGAGGGCAGCATGAAGTCGATGGACTATGGAAGCAAGGGCTGGCAGGGGCCGTCCCAGCGGTAAGGTTTGCCCCGGGGACACCAGGAGCCGCTGGAGGATTTCAAGCATGGACATTCCCAGGAAGGTCATTCTGATCGCACGGTAGAGGAAGGGATGGCAGGGGCAGAACTGGAGGCAGAGATAGACATTAGTGAGTCCATCGTGGCTGTTACAAATGAGGACAGACCTTTAGATCATGGTGTTGTCCCTGTCGAACTGCCTCCTTTGCCATGAGGCCAGAACTGAGTGGTATCAAGCTACCTTTACTGAATAGGTGGATTAAAAATTCTTCAGAAGAATCCTGATTGAAATGGGGGTAAATACGGAAGGAAACTTCAAAGCTTCACGGAACTCAGACTTTCTGGAGCCATTGAGGCTGCACAGCTACCTCAAACCTTAAACCAAAACTATCCCGTGAGCCATCTGGAACCAACAGTTGCTGCTAGGTGCCGGCGAGTTGGTGCCGGCTCACAGAGACCCTAGCACAACAGGACAAAACACCAGCCTGTCCCGTGCCATCCCCACCATTGTTCTGATGTTTGAGTCCATTCTTGCAGCCACTGTGCCAACCCATCACCTCTTTCCACTGCCCCTCGACTTTACCAAGCATGATGTTCTTCTCCAAGCGCTAGTTTCTCCTGACAACACGTCCAAAGTACGTGAGAAGAAGTCTCACCATCCTTGCTTCTAAGGAGCATTCTGGCTGCATGACTTCCAAACATTGATTTGTTTGTTCTTTTGGCAGATCATGGTCCCTTCGTCGTTCTTCATCAGCAGCACTATGATTGAAATGCAGGATTTCTTCTTAGTCATCCTTATTCAGCGTTTAACCTTCACCTGCCTATGAGACAATGGAAAACACCCTGGCTTGGGTCAGGCTAACCTTAGTCCTCAAAGTAACATCCTTGCTTTGCAACACTGTACCGAGGCCTTGTGAAGCAGATTTAGGGTAACAATACACAATCGATGAGCTTAATTAGAAAAGAATGTCTGTCTTGATAATTTATGTTCTTTTAAATAATTGTCTATATGTGATTAAATAGGCTTCAACTGGGAAAAGTTAGATGAGATGCTTAGGCGGCAGTGAGTTTGTGCTAACGATGTTGAAACCATACAGAAAAGGATATAAAGGTATTGAGAAAGATGTGGTCAATGTCACTAAGCTGGACTCGGAGAAACTAGGGAATGTTTTGCTGTGCTATCTTGACAACACCTCTGCTCATAAAAGGCAATGGTATGGACAACACTTAGCTGTAACGTGGTTGGGATAGATTAGTGTTAGCGGAATTCAGCTTCTTGTTTTACCAAAAGAAAGATTGACTTTGGAAGGCATAGGGCATCCTAAGAGAATTCCATTAAGAAACTCGTAGAGAGAAAGAAGCCCTTCCAGAGAGCTTGGCTGGTCTAGGTATTTCTTACTTCCCGTGTGCATGCTCACCGTTTGATTTACGCGTTCTCTCTCTCCCCCTGCCGTCTAGTCAATGAGTCAATGCTGACTCATAGCCACCCCCTGGGGGTTTCCGAGACTGTAACTGTTTACAGGAGCAGAAAGCCCAGTCTTTCTCCCCATGGAGCTGCTGGTGGTTTCAAACTGCCAACCATGTGGATCGCAGCCCAATGTAGAACCACCGCACCGCCAGGGCTCCTTTTAAGGGTTCACCACATACAACTTCTTGGGAATTTCCACTGGGGGCAGCAAAGGGCTTTTGGAAATGTAGCCTCAAGATAGTATCATAGACTCCCCACATGCTTTGTCCAAATTGCCACTTTGGTCTCCCTTACCCTGCT